GTTTATTATCGCAGCGAGGCTGACGTTATGCACCAGCCGGTGGGCCCAGACACTTGCTGCGTAAGTGACTGTCGGCACCAGCGCTCCCGCGTATAGGAGTCTTAGTGCGGGTGCCCGTAGGCCCCATCGTGTGGCGGCTATCCCCCGTAGCCGAAGTGCCAGACTTTTTGCTTTTAATGCGACGTAGTTAACGTGCGCCGCAAAGTTGAGTTTCCGATCGAGAATGATCCCTAGGTATTTCGCCTGCGGTACGAACTTGACTCGGGCACCGTTCATCCGGATCAGCGGAGAACGTGCGTGAGGGCCTTTGACAATAAGCGCCTCGGTCTTTTCCACGGAAAAACAGAGCTTGTTTCGGTTCCCCCACTCGAGGGCCGAAGCGAGTGCCAGATCGGCCCTGTGCTCGATCTCAGGTCGGGAGCCAGCTTCCACCACGACCGCCCCGTCATCTGCGTACCCGAAGACGGTAACCCTGTCAGGCATGGTGGCACTAAGTAGATCGTCGAAGATGAGGTTCCAAAGGAGCGGCGCAAGCACCGATCCCTGGGGACAACCCTTCGAAATTTCCTTCTCGACTTCGACCGACTTATGCCGCATCACCGCTCGGCGACTCGACAAAAAGTCCTTCACAAGATTGTACAAGTCGGGCGGGGTGTCGCGACGACGCAGTGCTGTCAGGACGGATGGCCACCAAGCGTTGTCGAAGGCCCCCCGAATATCGAGGAACACAACGACGACGTACTTGGCAGTCGAGTCGCGCACCGTAGCGAGCAGTGCGTTTATCGCGTCTTCCGCCGAACGACCCGGCATAAAGCCGTATTGTTTGACCGACAGGGGGGAATGCCTTTCAAGGTGATCTCGTAGCCGCCCGCTCACGAGTTTTTCCAACGCCTTACCCAGAACAGGTAGCAGGCTAATCGGGCGATACGACTTCGGATCTGACTTATCCTTGTCATTGCCTTTCGGGACGCCTACTATAGGCGTCTATTAGGAGGGTCAAGGAGGGATCATGTTTCCCCTGGATTTTCCGTTTCTGTTATACATTTGTACATAAAATATTATAGTTTATATTAAATACATTGAATAGATGAAAATGTGATGATCGTATAATATATTATTATATGGTAGAATTAATATTTTCACTAGAGGTTCCCATCGGTCGTTGGCGACATAGTTGAAAAATTAAAATATCATAAGCGATTATGTCGTTACTAATTAGTAGAATCGTTAATGTATAAATACTTAATTATAATCAACAGTTGAATATATTTTTTTTTTTTTTATATATAATAAAATAAGATATCCCTAGCCATTGCAGGCTATCTATTTATCTGTAGATAAAAAAAAAAAAACAAATATAAGTTTGTAGCAATTATAACAGGTTAATTAAAGTATAAAATACGGACAGATGTATACAATTGAAAAAAACTAAATAAATACAAAGCGAATCGGTATGGTTACAAATACTTAAGATGCTAAGTTAAAGCGAAAACAATTACAATATATACAGATTAGACTGGAGGTTTATTTTGAATAATGAAGTCGTGAGGGCGGCCGCGTTTTAGACGTCGTTGAAGTGGTGGATGAATATGGAGATTGTAGTGAAGTGAGCTTGTTGAGTTGAGTAACGAACTATGGAATTTTCTTGATAGTGAGCGTATAAGGTCTACGATTTTTACGATTTGGAGGTCTTTGTGAATATTTTTATTTCGAATGAACCACGGAGCATTTGTAATAATTCTTAGCATTTTACTTTGAAATATTTGGATTTTTTTTAAGTGCGTAGCCGAACAGTTCCCCCATACCGGACAAGCATAAGTTATTAATGGCAGTAGAAGTTGCTTGTATATTAAGATTGAACATTTTTTTTGAATGACTGTTTTTTATTTATTATTGGAAATAGTATCGATAGACGTTGATATGCTAGATGTATTTTTGCTGATAAATGAGGCCCCCGGGTCAACCTCTTATCAAGGGTGATTCCGAGGTATTTGACAGTCGGTTCCCAAGGTATAGGCACTTTGTCGAATTTTAATAGTGGTGGTGTGGAGTAGAGACGAAGGCTGAAAATGATTGCTGTACTTTTGGATGCGTTTATTTGAATCTTCCAGTTTTTACACCATACTGATAATACATTTAAGTGGCATTGTAGGTTATGAGTAATCGCTTCTATATTACGGGATTCACTGTAAATAATCGTATCATCTGCAAAAAGGGCCATGTTGGTGCGTGGTGACTGTGGGATATCAGATATATAAATGTTAAATAAGATTGGGGCCATCTTGGAGCCTTGAGGTACACCGGCAGAGATAGGCTGGAGGTCAGAGAGAGAGTCGTTTATTTTTACTGAAAATTGTCTGTCCGAAAGAAAGGATTTAATAATATAGAATAAGTTTATTAAGGTGTGTTTTATACATTTTAATTTGTACATAAGACCTGTATGCCATACTTTGTCGAAAGCCTTTGAGATATCAATAAAGACGGCACCCGTGTGACGGTGCTTTTCAAAGGAATTGCTGATATGCTCTGTTATACGAAACAGTTGTTGAACTGTTGAATGGTTCGATCTAAACCCAAATTAGAATTTAGTAATAGTTTCCGCGCTATTTATAAAATCTTGTAACCTAGTGTGAATAACTTTTTCAAATATTTTGGATAAGGAGGTTAGAAGACTTATTGGTCTCTAGGAATCCGGGTTCGATTTATCTCTTTACCAGGTTTTTTGATAAGTATGACTGTTGCAATTTTCCACTTCGGTGGGAAGTGTTCAAGTCTTAGCAGAGAATTAAATAATGCAGACATAAGGATGAGACCTATAACGGAAAGCTTCTTGAACATGATATTCGTGATGCGATCGTGCCCTGGTGCTCTTTTGTTCGGCAGTTTTTCTATAACTAGCTTAATTTCATTAGGTGTAGGTTCATTAGTTGAATATATAGGAGTGTACGATTAGATATTATTTGTTACCTACACATATTATATTATATTAAATTATTACATTTTCCGTCAATTAAACAATTGTGTTATCATTTACATGACCATGCTTCTTACAACATACTTATTGGATTATGTATGTTTAGTATGCATACTTAGATAGAAAATTCAAGTTTTAAATTTGATTCAAAATCTTGTTGACTAGTTTTCAAAACATAAACGTCTTACATTCTTGTTTTAAGATTTAATCAAATTAATCTAAACTTTAATGTAACTCATTTTATTAATTAAATAATACAGTGCAATGTTCATGTTATAGGTATATTTTTCAGATTATTAGAAATTAAACTACCTATACTTACTCTTAGTTATTTTATAAATAATTATTATATAGGTAGTTATGATAAATACTGTTGTAGGAATAGGAATACGGTCATATAATTTATAGATTAATAGAAAGGTAAATATTGAAAAAATACAGTCTCCTCCTGGATTTGTTAAGACGAACGTCCTTGTCTATAGGGAAAATATTAAGAAGGTGATGATTAGAAATGATGGCCTAAAAGAAAAAGGTTCCCTGAACACTCTAAATATTATAAATACTATAATGGAACAAATAAAAAATAGGAAATTATAGGTATAATACTTTTAACCGCTGTACTGCGAAACAAATATTTAACCAGGGATTAGTATAGATTAGTGGGTAGTACATTATTAATATTGTAGTTGATTTGGCGGATGTAAACATAACAATTAAACATAAAAGTCATCATGATTATGATTGTCAATAATTCTATCAACTAACGTTTGGAACTCCAGTACCGCGGAACGGACAACCTTTTATTGCGCAACTTGTGTTCAATGCACAACCCGAGGTGGTGGTCTGTGGTTGAGGCCAAGGTTCATCGGGACTACATAACGTCGTTTTAAACATGTCCTTCATCTTTTCTAATGCAATCATCGCACACCTCACCATTTGCGTGTCTTCCCTGCAGCAAGAACCAATTGTAGCACGATTCGACTTTGTCATTATTTTATGTTCTATGTTTCGAGTGTTGTTAAAATGTTATTAAATTTTAATTCATAAAAGTCTGGAGTTTTAAAAAATTTAAAAATATTATAATAATAGGCAACGCAGTTTACTAGGTATAAACTGTTTTATCACTATGTACGGTTGGTTACCTAAGAAATTCAAATATTAAATTATAAAATGATATAGCAAATAACGTCGAAATGTATTAAATCTTTGAGATTAACCCTTTCATTACTATGTATTAAAATCACAATATGCTGCAGATGTTTAAAAAAAAAAAACAATTTTAATCACTTTATAAATTGATAGATTTGGACTGTTGTAAATGAGAAAATTAAAAAAAAAATGTTAAACCAAAACTGAAGAATATAAATCTGCTGGCCACGGGTTTCCAAACTTGTGCAACGCACTAACGCTAATTTTATATTGCAATATAGTGTATGGTCTTGTTTGAAAGATGGTTTATGTTACATTTTTCCATTTTTTTTTCTTGTATACAGACCAGCAATGCACAAACTTTTCAAAATAACATTTTTTTACTCAATGTAAATATATAGTAATAATAATTATGCTTTAATGAATGAAATGCACAATATTATAATACAAAAATGATTTTACTTGTGGTTATCAACAAAGTTAAAAATAAAAAACCAAATACAACCAACTTAAATATAACAGAATGCAATATATAAATATTTAAAATATGATAATAAATCAAAACAAAATTGTTTTAAATTGTTTTTATTTATGGTAAATTTTAAAACAAGGAGCAACACATAAACCAACATCACATTCAATAAAGCAATACTTGGAATCTATTCTTTTTTTGTTTTCCATTTTATGGCTGCAAACAAATCAAAATTGTCTTCTTTGTTTTTTTTGACGATTCTGCAATTGGCACCAACTCTCGAAAGCGCCTAGAATCAGGTTGTAAGCGTTTTTCTGTAGTGTCCATTGGTGCTTTTCTTTTATTGTTTGTCATTACACCATCATCTTGATATTTCAATAGAATTTCATTAATTTATTTTAGCTAAAGAAATATGTTTTTCTGTTACTGTCTCATAAGCCGAATATGTATTCAGTAGAGACATATCAACTATATGAAAAAATAGTTTTTTGTACCACTTCATGGTACGGCGTACACATTCAACTAAGCTTAATAGCATATCGATAGCACCCATATTGCACCAATGGACACTACAGAAAAACGCTTACAACCTGATTCTAGGCGCTTTCGAGAGTTGGTGCCACTTGCAGAGTCATCAAAAAAAACAAAGAAGACAATTTTGATTTGTTTGCAGCCATAAAATGGAAAACAAAAAACGAATAGATTCCAAGTATTGCTTTATTGAATGTGATGTTGGTTTATGTGTTGCTCCTTGTTTTAAAATTTACCATAAATAAAAACAATTTAAAACAATTTTGTTTTGATTTATTATCATATTTTAAATATTTATATATTGCGTTCTGTTATATTTAAGTTGGTTGTATTTGGAAGGCTATGCGGCGTCTAATTGATGTCGGGGTAGGCGTCCCCTTAACTGTCCGCGTACTTAGCATGTATTAGTGCCTCTCCCTCTGGGGGAGTATAGCCCGCGCGAATCGCTCGAGAGCCGCGAGTGACCGGGACGACGCTACCAAGTCGGTAGGACTCCACGGCCCTCGGACCCCCAAGGCGCACAGGGCCTCAGTCAGTTGCGATCGTAGCTCGGCGTGCAGCGGGCAGTGCAGAAGTACGTGCCACGAGTCCTCCGTGGGGGACCCGTTGCAGTCACACATCGCGATGCCACTTATGCCGAATCGATGCAAGTATGCTTGAAAAGCACCGTGTCCAGTGAGGAACTGCGCGGAGAAATGAGTCGGTGAAAACCACCTCTGCGCGAGCACCCACCGGATATTGGGAAGAAATGCGTATGTGACACGGCCGGTGACGGCGGTGTCCCATCGCTCTTGCCACTCGCCGACTAATGCGGATTCTATGTCGGCGAGCGTTCGAATCGGCTGGTGTTCAGCCAGCGCTTTACGGCGATCATATAGATCGGACCTTTTGCGGACTTCTAAGTCTAGCGGTAGTGACCTCGCCAAGACTTGTAGTGCAGATGTGGGCACCGTACGGTACCCGCCGATTACTGAGAGAAGGGTCGGCCGCTGCGCCCGGTTTATTATCGCAGCGAGGCTGACGTTATGCACCAGCCGGTGGGCCCAGACACTTGCTGCGTAAGTGACTGTCGGCACCACCGCTCCCGCGTATAGGAGTCTCAGTGCGGGTGCCCGTAGGCCCCATCGTGTGGCGGCTATCCCCCGTAGCCGAAGAGCCAGACATTTTGCTTTCGATGCGACGTGGTTAACGTGCGCCGCAAAGTTGAGCTTCCGATCGAGAATGATCCCGAGGTATTTCGCCTGCGGTACGATCTTAACTCGGGCACCGTTCATCCGAATCAGCGGAGAACGTGCGTGAGGGCCTTTGACAATAAGCGCCTCGGTCTTTTCCACGGAAAAACAGAGCTTGTTACGGTTCCCCCACTCGAGGGCCGAAGCGAGTGCCAGATCGGCCCTGTGCTCGATCTCAGGTCGGGAGCCAGCTTCCACCACGACCGCCCCGTCATCTGCGTACCCGAAGACGGTAACCCCTTCAGGCATGGTAGCACTAAGGAGATCGTCAAAGATGAGGTTCCAAAGGAGCGGCGCAAGCACCGATCCCTGGGGACAACCCTTCGAGATTTCCTTCTCGACTTCGACCGACTTATGCCGCATCACCGCTCGGCGATCCGACAAGAAGTCCTTCACAAGATTGTACAAGTCGGGCGGGGTGTCGCGACGACGCAATGCTGCCAGGACGGACGGCCACCAAGCGTTGTCGAAGGCCCCCCGAATATCGAGGAACACAACGACGACGTACTTGGCGGTCGAATCGCGCACCGTGGCGAGCAGTGCGTTTATCGCGTCTTCCGCCGAACGACCCGGCTTAAAGCCGAATTGTTTGACCGACAGGGGGGAATGCCTTTCAAGGTGATCTCGGAGCCGCCCGCTCACGAGTTTTTCCAGCGCCTTACCCAGGACAGGTAGCAGGCTAATCGGGCGATACGACTTCGGATCTGACTTATCCTTGTCATTGCCTTTCGGAACAGCTATCACGTCAGCGACTTTCCAGGTCGACGGAAATACACCCGCCCGTAGGCATGAGTTGTACAACACCGTGATCTCCGGGGCGAGGACCGGCAGGGCCTGTGAGAGGATGCCGGCCGTAATCCGGTCCAGTCCGGGCGCCTTGCGCTTACCCATCGACAGCACGGCGGCGGTTACGTCTGGTATCGTAAACGCGTTAACTTCCGATCGCGCCGCACGCCCACAGGGGAGGGCTGCTAGGGCGCGTAACTCTCGGTGGTGGTCGTCGTCATCCACTGTTGTGTCGGACGGCATAAGCGAATCGACCATAAATTGGAGGGTCAGAGGTACTGATAATGTGCAGCCATTATCTCGGAGGCGGAGTGCCGACAACGCTCCGTTACGGCTATGCCGGCACCTACCGTCACTCCTAACGTAATGCCGGTGGACCGGACCCCAGGGGTCATCGTTACCGACTCTCGTCACAAACTGCCGCCAGGACTCGACCTTCGTTTTACGGATAAGTCGGACCAGGGCGCGTTTGAGTGAAACGTACTGCTTTCTTAGTGCCTCGCGGTCGGTCGCGTCCCTCGTTCGCTGAAAGCGTTTTCTGGCACGGCGGACACCCCCGCGGGCAGCGTCGATCTCGACCGTCCACCAAGGAACGGGTTTTGGGCCCGCACCATGGGAGACCGGCATCGAAACGTCACATGCCCTAACGAGAGCGTTTGAAACCGCCGATACACCGTACTCGACTTCGGCTCTGTCGGTTGCGTCATCAAGGGGCCGGCGGTTCGCCTCCAGGCAAGCCCGGAAGGCGGGCCAGTCGGCCTTACTCTCAACATATCGGCTCCTGCAGCCGCGAACAGCCCCGCGACTCCCGTGAACGCCCCAAGATAGGGTGATCGCCCGGTGGTCGTAGTCATCCTCCCCCACACACACGGCCCAATCCTCGATTTCTCGTGGATGGGTCGTGAGTGTGACGTCGATATGGCTGGACCCCGAGTGGGAGACGAAGGTTGCCGGAGAATCCGGATGGTTCGCGACATACAGGCCGACTTCGATCAGCAGGTCTTCGAGGTCGCGTCCCCGTTCGTCTGTGGCTGCGGCTCCCCACAAGGCCGACTTAGCGTTTGAGTCTATGCATAGGATGACCCGTTTACCCCGTAATGCGCTCAAGATTAATCGTATTCGCTGGAGGAATGGTTCAAGAGCGAGCGAGAATCGACAGTACATCGAGACGATGTAAAGGCTATCCCGCCCGTATGAGATTTCCACCACCACCGTATGAGAGTCGCCGAACTGAGTCAGGTTAAGCACAGGCAACCCCGGGCGGAATACGACGACGGCCGCCGATGGCGGGTCCGACGCGCAGCCGTTCGAGATCACTGTGACGCCCGAGCCAAGATCGCGGACCTCGCCGCGGGAAGTATAGGGCTCTTGGAGCGCTATCACGTCAAGCCGTTCCTGCATCGCCCACATGCCCAGTGCCGCGGACTTCACCTGACACCGGCCCGTATTGAGCTGGGCCAGACGAAGCCGCGACGCCTGAGCGATACGGGAAGACGTATTATCCATAGCTTATTCTAAGCTTGGCGCTCTCTGCCGCTTTCCCAGCAGCGGGACAGGTGGCACTCGTCGCCCGATGGCCAGCTGGTACGCGTGAGCGGACACAGTTGACACACCGTGGTTTTTCCGCCACGCACGGGCATGTTTTGACTTCATGCCCGGTTTTGCCACAGTGGGCGCACGTTAGTTTGCCACGACATGCTTTCGCAGTGTGGCCGAAGTTGAGGCAGTTGTGGCAGCGGGTTACACGGTCATATTCGCTGACTCGCGACCGTGACCACTCTAAATAGAGGGTTTTCGCCTTCATAAGCGCGGCAAAAACTACTGGATCGGCTTCACACACCCAATCGACGTAGTCGGTGCGGCGCGGTCCAACCTTGAAAATGGGCTTCAAGCCTTCCTTAACCCGGTCACCCCATATGGCCGGGTTCTGTTGAACGGCGCAATCTACCAATGACGCCTCGCTCAGGCATAGCGGGACGTCGCGGACGCGAACGCGGGGTTTACGGACCGGGGGACCCGAGACCGTGAAACCCGCGGTCTTTAAAGACTCCGAGGCCCGAATTCTGTCGTAGGTGGCCTTGTCAGCCGCCTCGACGATCATCGTCCCCGAAGCTGCAGTACGGGAGTGCGCCACGCGGAGGCCGTTGGCCCGCGGGTTGACGACGCTCCAGAACTGCGCTTCGTTATTCCGCGCCGGCTCGCCAGCCGTCGTTGCCGGCTTCACAAATAGAGTGAGACCGTTCCGCCGCTTTTCCTTACGTTTCGCCGACTTTGACATCCCGGGTTTGGGAGTCGGCTGCTGTGACCGGGTAGGTGCCTTATGTTCGGCCGTCTTTTCCGACACACGCACCGGCCTTGTCTTGGGGGTCGCCACCGAGCAAATTTTTGCTGCTGCCACCTTCGCGTAAGTGGTTGGCGCGCTTTTTTGCACGTCCCGAGGCTTGTTTGCCGAGGGACCAACTGCCGACTTCGCTCCCTTCCGGGTTGCACTGTCCTTTCCGGAAGAGGAGGCATCCCCCTGGGGTTTCCGTACAGACTTAGTCTTGTTAGGTACCCAGATGGGACTGGTCGCTTTATCGCATGTCTCTTGGGGTACATTCGTCACTACCGTAAGATGAGGCGTGGCCACTAGGGTCTCGACAAGGAGGTTTAGTGTTTCCACTATCTCCGTACGCCTCAGTTTGGGGAGTTGCTTTTTGCAGGACTCCAACATATTAAGGATGTCCTGCTTCAACATCATCGCTTTCGCCACACGGCCGCGGTCAGTCGTCGGCTCACACCCAGCCAACGACTCTAGTTTAGCGCATTTAGCGCCGGAGTCCTCCGACTCCGACTCGGACGAGTCCAGCACATTGTGCCTCTTTCGGCCTGGGCCCGACACCACGCACCCGAATGTGTCGTCCTGTTTGGGCAAGGGTACATGCTTTGTCCCTTGCCCAGAAGAGCTTGGTACGCCGCTAATCGTCTTGGGGGCGTTTAGCGGCGCTCAAGTCCCTGGCCGCCTCCTTAATCGACACCTTGGTGTTATTTGCTAGGGCGATCTCGTTCTCCAGCCTATCCATGCACCTTAAACTGCTCTCCATCACCTTGTCGTAAGCCTTCTCTGCCTGCTCCCTGGACGCCTTGGGCGGGATAGACTGCCCCGGCGCTTGCGCGACGGATCTCCTGTCCGGATGGCGTGACGAGGACATGGTAGGGGTGGCCCTAGCACCGGCAGGACCGCCCGAGTCTAGGCATCCTCCGCGACCTTTGCTGGTATACCTAGTTGGGTCATTACGTTCCATAGCTTGCTTCTTATTATCGAATCGTAGACTTGTTTAAAGTTTACAAATAACAGATACACATCTTTATAAAATTCATGACACTTTCGTTATTGTGTTTGATAATATGAATTTGGTCAGTGGTGGATTTTCCAGCAGTAAAACCTGCTTGGTATTTTCCTACTATCTCTTTAGTATACACTGTAAGCCTATTTAAAATTATGTTCAAGAGAATTTTATACGATGTACTAAGTATAGATATACCCCTATAAATTACCGAAATAGAATTTTGTTTTTTAAATTTTTAAAAAATTTAAAAAAATTAATATCTCCGGAAGTATTGATTTTTCGATACACTACTTAAAGACCGAAAAGACTCCTCGGGTTCTGTTCCATAGGATTCGTCGATAAAATCAATGGGTTATGGGAGGCTAAAATTAACACATTTCTCGAATTTATGTAATATTTCCGACCGCTACACACAAATTTTCCCCGCCCAAATACTTACAAGGTATTAATTTCCGCAAAAATTTGAAAACAGAAATGTAATCAGCAGCAGCAGCTCATGCTCTACAGAATTGGGGTGTTCAATTGCAGTGTTTCGAAACGCAAATGGCCCCCCTTTTTCCGTTGACAGACGACAAATTGTCGGTACGGATTCATTGTAACAATTTTTAAAATAACATCGTTGGTCATTACAATTATAGTACCTAGTGATAACAATTAACAGCTGGTAACTGCGATTATCATACAATTAATATACTTATATTTGTGTTCGTCTTGAGATCCACCTTCCACCTTTTAGTGTTATTTAGCTATTTGTCGAAATGAACCGTTTATAAGTGTAAGCGTCTAAGCATACTACAAGAACCTTATGTATAAAATAAATTTTTTTTAACATTGCTAAGTGTATGGAAAAGGAAGATTCTACGCAACCATTTTTTATTCTTTCAATTTTCTTTAACTTTAAGAACCAGGTTTTTCATATTATCTTGAATATTAATGAGAATTTCAAAAAAAAAAAATACCTCTTTTAAAGTACCGCCCAGAGAACATTTCCTTTCAAAAAAGGTGCTATACTTTATAATCTTAGTAAGATTTCTGATTTAAAAAGGTGTTAAAATAAATAAAAAAAATAAACACCATTATAGAACAAATACATCGCTCACTTCGCTCAGAATCTAAAATGTAATGTAAAATAATTAAAAATTGTAATAGACTAAAAAGTTAATGTGGGCTACAAGGTAAATTTGCAGGTTGCCCCCACGCTCCCCTCATAAATATGGGCACTTACGTACCAATTATCCGAGGCAGGTCTAAAATTCCAATCCGTCCCTGTTTGGAAGCATGTGTAGTAATATAAAAAAATTGGAAAAATAAAAAGGGGGTGAATAAAGTGTGAGGAGGAAAAAATATAAAGTTGTGGTAGGGTGAGATAGTAATAGGCTAAGACACTAAGTATAGTCATAGAAGACAAACATATTTAATGATAGGATATTACGTAGAAGTACCTACAAAAAATAAAATTAGGAGTAGGTATAAAAATGTTTCTATATAATATAAAATAATTGATCTAGTTTTTGGTTCTACAAAAAATGATTTATCTATAATCATAATAAAAGTTCAGCCTAATTATATTGTTACCTTTCTTCCAATGTTTGAGAGGGATTCGGAGTAGTGAATTCAAGAATGGTGACGAAATCAATAAATAAAGAAAGATATAATTATATTTTGCATACCCACGGTGTTGGAACGCTAGGGTGTATACTTATGGATATCCTCACGTGATTCTGGAGTCGTTGGACGGCAATCACAATTTAATTAAGATAAACTAATTTGATTAATTAACACTTAGCACCTGTGTGCATTCAGATAAACTAGGATATGCTCAAATATAATTTGGATTTATCATTTAGAAAATAGTAAGGTTGTTATTTGATCATAGTAAGATATAGTAAGTACTTCTAAATTACCTAATCACTAATTATTTAGTAGCTGCTCCTTAATAGCATCTTGTATAGGCAACTTTTTGTACTCGTCTCAATATCTCTTATCACTTGCTAGGTTACTGGCTAACTTTACACCCGTATTAATTTTAATAATATTATAATAATTATGTCAGTTAAATATAATAAAATTATAACATAAATTATATGTTTTATACATGTAATTAAAAAAAAATATGATCTGTATATATAAGCATATGACTTTGGCATAATTAAATAAATAAATAAACAAAACAGGATAAATAAATAGATAAATAGATAAATAAATAAATAATAATAGTAATAATAAATAAGTAATAAGTAAATAGGTAAATAAACAAAAACGGTGACTAGAAACTAGACTAAGAATTTGGTAACTATTGGGTTAAGTTGTCTCATAGGCGCATAATCAGATTTTCCAGCCATTTAATCGCGTTTGCACTGCCTTCATGTATACCTCTCAAACCCCCATCGTATTTAGTTAAAGGGCATGTCTCAACTATATGCTTCGTTGTTTGGATATTTCCACAGCTACAAAGAGGTGACTCACTCATGCTCCATCTATGGAGTAAATGATTGCAACTACCATTAGCAGTTCTTATAAAAAAATTTTTCTAAAGTTCTAAAAAAAATATGATCTGTAATATTACATTACTTACCTGTGAAAAGTGATTTTTATCTTTCTGAGATTTGTGGTTCCTACTTCTACCACAAACGTAGTGACAAGCATTTTATGTTATTATAAATTAAAATGCCTGAAAATTGTAAATTTTAAATTGGTCATAGACTATACATACGTGCATATAAACACTCGAAAGTCGAAAATAATCAATTTCAAAATGCATCTTAACAGTTGAAGGGTGAGCGGGAATATTTTAATTACTGCTTTAAGCTGCTGCCTACCGGACAGTTGAGTGCCAAAGTGACCTTAAATCAAGGTCAATGACCAATGGTTTGGTATCAAATTAGTTACATAGCTGTGATAGGAAACGGCGTCTCTATATTACTCTACGGGACAACTAGTATATTATCTTTAAGTGTGATAAAACTTACCCATATTATTTCTATTTGTGATAAGAGGTGAAAAATACACGCCAAATCACTTATCACTTACTAGTTATGTTATCAATAATAATAATTATAATATAATATTAACTTGTAACTATTGACTTATTGTACAAATAAATTTTTTTTTTTTAATCATATATTTATACAATCTGTAAATATATATATTTTTACAATAAGTATAAGTGAGATAAGTAGAGGTTGGATTGCAGTCTTGATTGAAGAATCCATCCAGTGATGGAGCTTCATGGCAGAGNTTGGCTTTTATTCATTTAGAAGGTCCCGGCACCATTGGCGTTTTAAGCGTCTTCTTGGATAACCAGGGATAATATGAGTATGTAAATTTGAGACAAGAGGGTTGCGGTGGTTGGATAGATTTGAGTGAAAGCGTTTATAGGAAATTTTAGCTACTTCTTTTACTGTTGGAATTGAGAGGTCGTTATGAAGTATTTCATTTGAAATATAATAGGGAGCTAAACAAATAAATTTAATTTTTATTTTATTGACTGAAAACTATATTACTATTATTTTTATAAATATTTAATAAGTTTTATGTAACTTGTAATCAGTTACCCAAAATTAGAGTAACTAGTATCCAGTTACATTATATTCTGTAACTTTCCTATCCCAATTTTGCCAATTAAATCAACTATGCCAATTTTTGAACGAACTCAACACGTAATACACTTTTGTTTCAAACTACTAAATCATGGTATTTTAAATAAAATCTCCGTTTTCTACATCCTCTCTTCGTTTGTTTGTCAAATTTGAACTTTGCATCTTAATATAAATATCAGTTTGAACGTTTTTGACGCGAATAAAAGTAATTTCCAATAATAAATTGAAACAACGATATTTACCAACCTATAATCCTAACCAAACCTAACCTATAATCGACGGATAAATACTAACGATTTTATCATCAAACATGTAGAAATAGAAAAACAATTTATTCTTGCGGACGCAACTCGGAACAGTCGACGAAAAACGCAACTCGGCTGTCGCGACGCATATTTTCGTTTTCCCGGACCGCGATCCGTATGCAGCCATTAAAATACACCACTTCGTGCCACCACTGGTCAGGAACGCAAAAACGAAAAAACACGTATTTCAATATTATCACGGTCATGGGTCCGCGTGTATTTTGTTCTTGTATTATTTATTTGCGCCTGCCTATGGTGGACACGTGTACGGGATACGAATCTGCGAATAATACGCCGGCGCAATAAGCTATAGCGGTGTGCAGTGTCTCGATTGTCCCTTAAATTGCAGACTCGCCGGACGAACGCTGTACCGGCGGTGAGAAGGCGGAGGGAGGAGGAATGAAAAGAAGAAAAAAAAAACCGAACCGTTGCTCGCGTCGCCGGTAAACGGACGCGGACGTGGCGCGGTGTAGCGCTTTCGTGCGAAACATTCGGCGGAGACTCTCAACCCGGCCCCGTCGTCCCGGTTTAGGTGCGTTGCCGCGCCCGTGCCCCTCTCCCCTCCTTCCAACAGCCGCCGCCGCTGCGAAGAAGAAGACTCGTTGTAGTCGGGCGGAGAGGTGGCTAGAGGAATCGACTCGTCCGCCGCCGCCGTGACGTTCGTGTGGTGGAACGGCACAGTACGCGAGATCGTCCGTCCCGGCGCGGTGGTACACTGTGTCGGCTATTCCGAACCCGTTGTTCCGAGACGGATTTACGCGCGTGACACGTGCATTGTGCTGATGTTTTTTTTCCGTTGTTATTTCGACAACGCCGCAGCGCACACAATAATACCTTTCTTACCTGTTGGTAGCCGCCGCGGGTACGATACATAAATGATAATACGATCGTCGTTTTCCGTTCTCGTAGTATTATTATTCCCTCTTACACTGCGGTTTTGTTGAAAGTACCGAGTTTTTTATAATACGTTTTGTTTTGTTTTTTTTCCCCTGTTAAATGTTTCGCGATGCCGTCCGTCGTCCGGTGTAAGTCGGTCCGCCCGGCCGCAGGCGTTAATGCCGCCGTCGAGTTCGGTGGGCCCGGAGTAAATACTTACCCGACGGACGTCGGGAAATGATAATATAACCGTCTGTCGTTTATTTTTTACACACGTGAGTTCATTGTTTGCATATTATATTTTACTATCTTTTTTCTTCTTCTTTTTCTTTTTCATCTCCACAGCTTTTAGCGGACCTCGGCAATGATCGCGGTCCTCTGCCGTCCATTCCATCGGCCTGCCGTAGGTAGTTTACGGTCTTCTCCGATTGTGCGCGACTTCATTGGACGGATTATCTCGAAATCTCGGTTTTATCACGTCCTGCGCCTTTGCTTGGCAGTAGAGTACTTCTGGGTGTTTGGCTTAGGTTTCTTCTGACGCCCGTTCGATTGTGTCACCGTTTACTGACCATTCTATAGCCTAGTTTGTGTCCGCTATGCACTCGCGAGGTTTCCTATTGATATTCGGTGCGACTGCATTTTTAACCGGCTTCACCAGGTAGTTCGCTGTGTATTTATAATGCCGTGTCTTGGTATTCCCGTATTGTTTTACTACGTCTCGTCCAACCTAACCAATACAACACAATAATAATAAATAACACCGCCGTCGTCGCCGGTTTCTCGTAAATACCTACCCGCCTCGGATCTCGTAATGATAATAATAATACGGTCATTGTACACATTATTATAATGTGATGATGATAATGACAATGTACCAAAACAAAATAAAATATGACGGTTGCGGTGACCGTGGTGATTCGGTTTCGGGATGACGACGGCCGGCACAGTTTCTCTTATCACGACACCACCCCCGCCTAACAAGTGGGAACACTGCAGTCGGCTCGGGACGTGTTTTCGACAATATTATTTTAGGGTTCATTGGCCAAGACGCCGGCGCGAGGTCTTGAGCGATTATTGTCCCGAATCTCTCGGCCGTCGTTGGCCTTGTTCCGCGCGCTCGTTTATACGCTTACTTGCCCTTTCACCGTTTGTATAGTGTTTTATAATGATATGACGTGCATATTTATAAATTACAATAATACGAATGTTACGTCTATTGATTATTATTATTATTATTATTATTTTCCCCGTCGTCGCCGTCATCAAATTGTGTGCACGTGAATATTCAAATACGTGCTGCTGGGTCGTAGTTAGTCCGTGGCCGTTATTATTATTATTATACGAATTGTGTTTGTTGCGGTAGAGAAAACCGTTTTCGGTTTTTTGAAAGCTGCGCGGCGTGCTCTCACTACAGGTTTTCACGCTGCGAACAAAAGCCCCGGTGGCCGGCAAACGTATCCGTACAGTGTAATTAGTACGACGACTTTCGATCGAATCGCCGCCCCGGTGTTGACGAGCGTTTTGCGAGTTTGCGGCTGCGATCGAGTAGTTTTTTTTTTCTCTGCTGTCTGTGAACAATATCTGTCCACCAATAATCTTGTTCGGATTACAAACGATACGGTGATTTTTTTTTTCTCAAACGCATATTTTATCTAGTCGGTGAGGTTAATTTTTGGTTTTCAGGTTTACTTAATAATCGGGGAAAATTAATAACGTGTAATAACTGTTCATGGTATTTTGTTGTATCAAATCCGGTTGGAAATAATCGTAGAGACTTGACATTTTTAAAGCATTCGTTTAGCTATTTATAGCCATATGGAAATGTTCGGTTATATGTGGGTCAAATTTCTTTGGCTTCTCAAAAATTCTGACCAATTTGGTACAATTTTTATCGTTATTATTATTATTATTTTTTTTATATAATCGTTTGAAGTCTTCTGGTTCAAATTTTAACGAAAATTGTAAAAATCGCGACATTTCAAAACTTGGCTCGGCATTGTCTTTCGTTAACAACAATAACATTATAATTGTGTACAGATATACATTAAATTACTTTACTCTGTTGTATCTCCTACCATCTGAACTTGATACCCACAATATAGTAGCGGATCAATGATAGCGCTTAACGGTTCAGCTCTTTCTTTAATTGTTTTATAATTGTATTCATTATGTTTCAAAATAAGTTCAACGCACCAGCCATTATTATATCGTTATGTTTTTCGAGTATTTTTCAAATTCCGCCGATTTTTAGCCAGTACCACGGGTTTTATTTTATGGTGGCCCAATGTGTAAATATTTTATTTCAATGATTATTTAGCAAAATACTATTCGATTCCATCCACTCCGGGATACTATTGAGCTATAACAGTTATATTACAAATTATAACATTTATGTCATAATTATAGACCGGATTTTCATGCACTTATAATAAATTGTTAAATATGCATGCAAACAAGCACTAAACAAGTCAAAATATTATGCAAGACAAAGTTACAAAATATGCAGAACAAAATTAAAATCGTTATTATATTTTTTTTTTTATCGTATTCCGTAATTTTGAAGTGTAAATTGTTAGTAATAAAACAGTACGACAAATTTAGTATGTTAACTGGAAAAATAATAAGTTACTAAAGTGTGTTTCATTTTCACCCTTTTTGGTTGGTGAGTATTTTTCTAACTTTTTACTCGTCTCTGTTTATAGTGACCAAATATGCAATGTAATCGATTTAATAATGATTTATGGACCCTCACTGACTGGCATGTATATGGCGTAGAAATGATCAATATGCATTTTGTGCAAAATCTGATCTTTAGTTATAACAAATGACGAATATTGTGCTGCTTACCCAATACCTGTTTAGACCTTTAGTTTGATTAAACCCTGTTAGTTTTATTTTGCAAGAACTGTAATCTCCATCCACTTACTCCAACACGACTAAAACTGAATTTTAAAAATAGGGTAAAACGTTAATTGGAATAGTTTTAATCGATATTTCTATTCGGTTGTGCCTATTGCTTCAAATAAAACTTTATCCTGTATAATTGTGAAATGTTTCATTAAACTACAGGAATTATCATATAGGTATATATATATATATATAATACAAGAGTAGTTGTATTATATTTTATACCGCCACTGTTGGTGGATAGTTGGGAAGGTAGGATATTATAAAAAAACAACTTACTCGACGTCTTTTTTGGGTTTTCTTAATTGTTATAGAATCTATTTTAGGTACAAAAAAAATGTCTCCATTAGTGGCTAACAAATTAAATCGAACAAAATCGATTTCTTGTTGAAAACATAGTTTGTAAATATCAAAAACAATTAAATCGATAATGCCGCGGCGCATCGTAAATATTCGCCGTTTTACCTGTACTTTTCTTTCCAAGTTTTCTAAATTATTTTGAATAGCCCTTTGTACATTAATAGACGACTTTTTTTTACGTGCCAACTAGAGGAAATTTTCTTTCATAAAAGTGCTACACTCTGTACATAGGAGCAAAATTTCTGGTAGAAAAGTCGTTCACGGGTTAATAAAAATACAAACACACTTCATCGTAAAACCAATAGATACACTCGCTACACTCGGAATTTAAAAAATAAATTGTAGCTCTGATAAAGAAGATCTGAGAACCATAATAATACAATTGTCGTTGAAATCATCCTAGATTCCTAAATATTATAAAAATAATTCTTATTGCATTCAAAATCCAGAATGTTTTACAATATAATAATATACTATACTATGGTTTATGGATAATAGATTCAATGTAGGAAGTAAAACATTCTTTACGATTTATTGTCCTGCGATACCACATGTCAAGTTGAACGTACATTTATAAATGACACCGATTGGACATACGCCAATAATATAAATACCTAATAATAATTTATTTATGTTTTGTCGTCTCGGAATGACCCAAGAAGGTTCTAACGCGTGTTTTTAAATTGTCCAGTAGAGCGTTTTTAATAAGATAATAAAAGTCTGTCTAGTTGTATCTCCTTCAACAATAATTACGAATGAACATTTTATTGTAAATTCCAGACGTTCTCCCGAACACGAGAAAACTTGAAATCAGAATATGGTTCTTCGTTAAAATAACAGTGTTAAAAAACGATTTATGAGTTTTTTTTAATAATCTATAAATTTGAGGATTGTATTTACAATTATTTACAATTAATATTCAATTGATTACAATTTGTTAGGAATCAATCGACAAACAAAGTCCCCCACTTTGTTTAAACTGAAATTGTTCGTACAAGTTTTATTAATTCGTATAAGTAAACAATAAAATACATTAACCTTGGTTTGTAGATTATGTTCATTCAGCATACTAAAGATAACATATATTTTCTTTATACAACGTTTGACGGATTCAACAGTTTTAACCTTTTCTGTTTTATTCCGAATTTAACACTTATAAAAATAAAGTATAGGGAATTTCGTTTATTAAAAAAATTATATT